CTTCCAAAGGCAAAACACAAGCAGAGGAGTTTCAGTTTCACAGCAGCACCAAGCAGCTTTAGTACGGAACAGTTGAGCTAAGCCACGCCCAGGCTCCTCGCTGTCTCCTTCTTGTTCATACAGCAAATACTCTTTCAGTTTCCAAACAGCTCTCAACTCTCTCCTACACTGACAGGACGCTTGCCAGGTGAATACTGATGGATGCTGGTAGGCAGAGGCAGAATCCCACCCCCCCAATTTTCCTCCCCAAAAACTAAACCCCACCACATAGTTTCATGCAGCAACATCGGATTTTACCCAACAGACCGAAGAATAAAGACCTTGCTATGATAATTCATGGATCCTTCTTTCAAATAAAAATAAAAAATCACAAATCTTTTAATTTTGCAAATCTCTTAACTGACGATTTCAAACCTGCGACCCTTTTTCAATTTGCAAATCTTCAGATGTATAAAGGTTCTCATTTGCAAATCTTTTCTTTGATTCGCAAATCTTTAAACTGATAAAAGACCGGCAAACTTTTTAAATTTATAAAGATTTTCCTTTGCTTCCATTTGCAAAATCTTCTAATTTACAGAGACTTTTCGTTGATGAAGCTTTTAATGTATCCATCTCCGGGGAAGACGAACAGTTCAAAACTGTGAAAAATCGATCGATAGAAAAGTATAAAGTTTGACACTGGTTTTGTAGATGCTGGCAAAACCTCTTCCAAGCAGTTTCTAACGGGGTTTGACGTTGAGGGCTTGGCTTGCGTGGCCTTACCTCCACTTTCCGTGGCGGGGACGTGAATTTGACTCCCATTTTGTCCCAAGCCGTAGCCACTAACGTCGTCTGGCCAACTGCTACAGCTCGGAGCATGTAGACTTCGGAATAATCGCCGAGTTCCTCCATCGGCCTTCGAGAACCAGAGGGGAAAGACTTATATAACAACTTCCACTTCCATCCCACTCTGGAGGGATAGCTGAAAAACTCCAGTAATCAACATCATCAACTTTTAAAGAAACCCCATAATCCCTTTGCGGGGTGAAGTCTGGGCAACTGAATGGAGTTGAGTGTTTTTACTGGCCGGATGCCTTTCCCTGTTGCCAGGGCGGAGTTTTGTTCCGCAGATGATATTTCTCATTGTGCCCAGAGAGAAGAGAAATATCAGCGTCTGCCGAGGAGCGAACTCACAGCCGCCTGATTGTGAGGTGAGAACTCCACCTCTATCATCCCGTTCTCGGCCGTAAGGAATACCTCCAGTCTGGGGGGATTCTCCCCCTTTGCCCCTCGGGGCCAGCTGGAGCCGAAGGTGACCAGGCCAAAGGTTCTGCAAGAAGGGGAAGACTTACGTCAGGCTCACGATCGGAGAGGCTGCTTTCAGTTGGAGGTGCATGTAGGTGAAATATTTACTGCGGAAGGCCGAGTGGTGAGACCCCAATACTCGCACCGAGACCAGCACGGACTTGCCAATCTCAACCTGGGGAAAGAAACCCCCCCACCCCAAAAAAGCTGCAGGGGATCCTTGGCAAGACAAGCCTGGATTGGCTGTTTCTTTTAAGGGAGGAAAGCGCTTTAGAGAGACTGAATGGTGGTTAAACGAGGGTCAGACCCGGTTCTCCAACAGGGTCCTTTCTCACCTTGTCAATCAAATCCACTTCCAATTCGTACATGTTCGATACTCGCACGTAAGCCGTAGCCGGTCCCAGGAAGGCGAGGCAGAGGTCGTAGATCTCCAGGGCCAAAGAACCAGGCAGAACTGGAACTACCTGGAAAAAGCCACCGTGAGCCCAAACGGGGAAGGTAAAGTCAGAGCTGGGTGGTGCGTTCGTAGCTGTGCTTTAACCCAGTTAAAATCCCCTGGCAAATCTAATAGCAATGGTTCGTGTTAGGGAACGGTGCGGTTTCTAGGATCGGCATGAATACGCAGTTAACGACGAAAGATAAATAAATCTTGATTTCGTGGATCAGAAGATGTTTTGCAGAACATCTGCACTTCTAACGTGTCCTACAGAACATCTGAACTTCTAACGTGTCCTAC